TGACCTCGTGATCCGCCAGTCTCGGCCTTCCAAAGTGCTGGGATTACAGGCTTGAGCCACCGCGCCCAGCCTAAATTGAATTATTTTACACCTAGTTGACATTTAATAGTTTAAGCAGTCCTACTATAAATTGTTAAGTAAAAGATCCTTTTTAAATATAATAAGTTTCATTTGCTTAATATGGAGCTACATATGTTGTGGAAAAGACATAAAATTCTAACAGGAGGAGGAGGAGTTGCTTCTTAACATGCGAGAGTACAATTTATATATTCATTTCTTTTCTTTCCTTTCTTTTTTTGTTTGAGATGGAGTTTCGCTCTGTCACCCAGGCTGGAGTGCAGTGGTGCTATCTTGGTCTTCCGGCTAATCCTCAGTTCATCCAGTTCCTTCTCCATTAAGTGGGATTCGGCAGTGGACTCCGAAAGCTGAAAGTAAAGCAGCAGCTGTTAGTAAGCAGCACATTTCTAGATGTTTCAGGTTGGCAAGGCCGGCCCTACACGTGGAGGAAAGGCCCCCTGGCACTTCTCTGGCACTGCTGGCCTCCATGGTGGGAAACCCTATAGAATTTCCAAGGGATAAGAAAGAATATTGGAAATCATGCAATGCAGAGTATTCAAAACTTTGGAAGGAGATGAGATGATCTAGAAAAGGCAGAGTGGCCGGGCACAGTGGCTCATGCCTATAATCCCAGCACTTTGGGAGGCCAAGGGGAGGGCCCCCTGGCACTTCTCTGGCACTGCTGGCCTCCATGGTGGGAAACCCTCTGAAACGGGGTAGAATGCAACCCCGGATGGCCCAGGACCACAAGTCCTTGAAGAATATTCACAGTCCACTCTGTCAGCACGCTGTCACCCACGAGGGCATGGCACTCCCTGCATGAAGGACAGCAGGTCTCAGAGGATGTCAAAGGCAGATACTGGTGATTCTAAGGCTAAGGGATTACAGTTTAAATTGATTCTAAGCTGTAGCTCCCATAAGGGGGATTAGGGGAGAAAATGCTGGAAAAAGAACGCCACTCTCCTCCTTAGGGTTTTTTTGTTTTGGTTTTTTGGTTTGTTTGTTTTTTGAGACAGGGTCTCACTCTGTTGGCCAGGCTGGGTGCTTTGCTTGTACTAACTCACTGTAAGGTAGATACTACGATTATGCTCATTTTTTAAAAAAACATCCAGGCCGGGCACGGTGGCTCATGCCTGTAATCTCAGCACTTTGGGAGGCTGAGACAGGGAGATCACCTGAGGTCAGGAGTTGGAGACCAACCTGGCCAACATGGTGAAACCCCATCTCTACTAAAAATGCAAAAGTTAGCCGGGCATGGTGGCGGGTGCTCATCGGGAGGTTGAGGCAGGAGAATCACTTGAACCCAGGAGGCAGAGGTTTCAGTGTGCAGAGATCACGCCACTGCACTCCAGCCCAGGCTACAGAGCAAGACTCTGTCTTAAATAAATAAATAGGTAAATAAAAATAAAAAACCATCCAGCCTAAAATGTCAGTCTTTTTCTTTTTTTTTTTTCCGAGACGGAGCCTCACTCTGTCACCCAGGCTGGAATGCAATGGCACAATCTCAGCCCACTGCAACCTCTGCCTCCTGGGTTCAAGCAATTCTCCTGCCTCAGTTTCCTGAGTAGCTGGGATTACCAGTGCGTGCCACCACACTCGGCTAATTTTTGTATTTTTAGTAGAGACGGGGTTTCACCATGTTGGTCAAGCTGGTCTTGAACTCCTGACCTTGTGACCCGTCCACCTCAGCCTCCCAAAATGCTAGGATTACAGGTGTGAGCCATCATGCCCAGCCTAGTTCTTTTTTTTTTTAAAAAAAAAGGGTCTTACTTAGTTGCCAAAGCTGGTCTCAAACTCCTGAGGTTAAGCCATCCTCCTGTCTTAGCCTCCTGAGTAGCTGGGACTACAGGGGTGCACCAGCACAATTAGCTATTATGTCATTTATTGCTGAAGAAATTAAGTCACAGAGCAGTCAGCCAGCAGCAGAGCTGGGCGAGGAACCCAGGCCATTTTGCTCCAGAGTGTGTGTTCTTCACCACTACAGTGTGTGCTCTCCTGCCTCTGAACCTTCACAGGCTCCTCTAGGCCCAATGGGTTGCTGGATTTTTAACAGTCACAAGAAACCAACGCTAATGCAGTGTGAGCCCCTCAGCAGGTCTGTGCTGGGCACTGATTAATGCTACTTGGTATGAGACACTTCCAAGCCATGAGCCGGCTCTTCCCCTCTTCCTGGAATGCCTTCATCCAACCTCCATTCCTGCCATTATCCTTCCACATTCAGCTCAGATATCCCTTCCTCTGGGAAGCTCTCCTGACTTGACAGAATTAACTTCTCCCTCGTGTGCTATGCAGATCCTGTGCAGACTCCAACTGGGTCCTCACCACTCTAATTATGCTTACGGTTCACCTGCCTGTACTGTGAGGGCAGGAACTGTGTCTTGTTTCTTGAGTGTGTCTTTGGACACAAAGCAACATACCTGGCCAAACTGGCATTGAGGAGATATCTGTTGGATTAAATGACTCGAGGTGGCGCCTCCCCAAAAGAAGAAGCTAGGCATCTCCTGCCCGTCACCTGCCTCACCATGTCTAACAGGATGTCCACTTTCAGCCGCAAGAGATTGTTCTCTTCCTCCAACTGCTGGTTCCGCCTGCGAAGGCGCTGAACCTCCCTCCGGTCCACACCGCCACTAACCCCTGTCTCTGGAGGAAGGACAGAACTAGTTAAAGGAGGGCTTCCTCCTACAATCTTGTTTGACAAAATGGCAGGAAGTGCAGCTCACCTGCTATCCACTGGCCATTTTCAAACTTCAGGCTTTGCCCTGCCAGGTTCATAGTGGGGGATCCATATTCCAAGCCCAGCTCCACCTCCCGGGCTGACCGATCCAACTGTGGGCGAGATGCTACGTGACGACTTCAGCAGGCCCAGAACACGCCCTCATCCCAGTTCCTCTTCCGCCAACAATATGACCCCAACAACTCATTTCTCTAATCATTATCTGGCACCTTTAATGATTTTTTTAAAGGCCATAAAATCAAATGATGTACAGCAAAAGTTTAATTATGAGATGAAAAATACACTGTTTTATACATTAGATGTTTCTAGAAAAGCTATATATGCTGAAATGTATAAATTGAATTATTATTATTATTATTATTTTTTTGAGACGGAGTCTCGCTCTGTTGCCCAGGCTGGAGTGCAGTGGCCGGATCTCAGCTCACTGCAAGCTCTGCCTCCCGGGTTTACGCCATTCTCCTGCCTCAGCCTCCTGAGTAGCTGGGACTACAGTTGCCCACCACCTCGCCCGGCTAGTTTTTTGTATTTTTTAGTAGAGACGGGGTTTCACCGTGTTAGCCAGGATGGTCTCGATCTCTTGACCTCGTGATCCGCCAGTCTCGGCCTTCCAAAGTGCTGGGATTACAGGCTTGAGCCACCGCGCCCAGCCTAAATTGAATTATTTTACACCTAGTTGACATTTAATAGTTTAAGCAGTCCTACTATAAATTGTTAAGTAAAAGATCCTTTTTAAATATAATAAGTTTCATTTGCTTAATATGGAGCTACATATGTTGTGGAAAAGACATAAAATTCTAACAGGAGGAGGAGGAGTTGCTTCTTAACATGCGAGAGTACAATTTATATATTCATTTCTTTTCTTTCCTTTCTTTTTTTGTTTGAGATGGAGTTTCGCTCTGTCACCCAGGCTAGAGTACAGTGGCGCCATCTCAGTTCACTGCAGTCTCTGCCTCCTAAGTTCAAGTGATCCTCCCATCTCAGCCTCCAAATAGGTGAGACTACAGGCATGTGCCACCACACCCAGCTAATTTATTATTATTATTTATTTATTTATTTATTTTTTTTGAAACGGAGTCTCACTCTTTCGCCCAGGCTGGAGTGCAGTGGCGCAGTCTTGGCTCACTGCAACCTCTGCCTCCCAGGTTCAAGTGATTCTCCTGCCTCAATTTCCCCAGTAGCTGGGACTACAGATGTGCGCCACCACACCCAGCTGATTTTTGTATTTTTTAGTAGAGACAGGGTTGCACCATATTGGCCAGGCTGGTCTCGAACTCCTGGCCTTGTGATCTGCCCACCTCAGCCTCCCAGAGTGCTGGATTACAGGCGTAAGTCACCGCACCCAGCCTAATTTTTGTATTTTTTAAAGTAGAGTCAGAGTTTCACCACATCGGCCAGGCTGGTCTTGAACTCCTGACCTCAAGTGATGCGCCCACCTCAGCCTCCTAAAGTGCTGGGATTACAGGCATGAGCCACCACGCCCGGCCTGTATATTCATTTCTACAACTCACTGAGCACGCACCCCGATTCAGGACTCGGTACTGGGTATCCAGGGATGGAAATGACCAGCGCTGCCCTCAACCAGCTCTGCCCCTGGTCAGCAGGGGGAGACCTTCAGGTAAGTGCTCAAATGTCCCTTTCTCAGTCAGGCCTTCCTGACCACCCTGTTGAAAAGAACAGCTCCATCCCCAGTGTTCAGCCACAGCCCATCCCAGGCCTAGGCTTGGTTTTGCTGTCTGGCATGTATCACCATCTGATATAAATTAGCTTATTTTCTGTAGCCTTCCATTAAAATATCTGCCCCATGAAAGCAGGGATTTGATGTTTTCCCTCTCCCCTCCTTCATCCACTTCTGCATGCCCAGTGCTTAGGAGAGTGCCTGGCACACAGAAAGGTATCAATCAATAGCTCTTGAATTAATAGAGAAGAACATTCTAGGCAAAAGGAGTAGCGTGCACAGAGGAGGCTCACACGGGGCTTGGGCAGCTGCAGCACAGGGTGTGCAGAGGGCAAGGGCAGGAAGGAGAGCTGGAGTGAGGCCACCAAGGGTCATCTGTGCTGCTCCCAAAATCTGGGTTGTTATCCTATAATAATGGGGAACTGATAAAATCCACCAGAGACCACACGGAGTGCTGTGGAAGCCTTTTTCCCTCCCAAGGCTTACAAGTACCTGTCAGAATGTGGAAAACAACGTAGGGGAGGACCGACTTCAAGTCATGGTCAGAAACAGACGTCACGTAAGCACGCTGTTGCTCTTACGCTGTGTGGGGTTAGGACAGAGGATGTCCCAGAGGGACTGCCAGGTGTATCTGCATCTCTGACATGTGGCAGTGAGAAAAGGGAGCCTCAGGCCTGGGGGCATCAGAAACTGAGAGCCTAAGCCTCTGCCTGGCCTGCTCCACAGAATGCCCAGCTCTAGCCACAGCGGGGCTGCGCCCACCATGATTTCACTGGGAATAGGAGACAGTAGACTCTGAGACCTGAAGCCTGTTTTGCTGGGAACAGGAGACAACAGACTCTGAGACCTGAAGCCTGGAATGAATGCTCAGCCCCCACAGCCTTGTTGTTCAACCCCGCTCGCCTTCTGTGAAGACATGGCCAATCTGCACAGCCAGCTCTGTAGGAAAAGGTCACAGAATAAAGTAGAAGTCAAATTCGACAATACTGGCTGGGCGCGGTGGCTCACGCCCATTATCCTAGCACTTGGGGAGGCCAAGGCAGGTGGATCACCTGAGGTCAGCAGTTGGAGACCAGCCTGGCCAACATGATGAATCCCTGTCTCTACTAAAAATACAAAAATGAGCCGGGCATGGTGGCGGGCAGTTGTAATCCTAGCTACTCAGGAGGCTGAGGAAGGAGAATCGCTTGAACCTGGGAGGTGGGGGTTGCATTGAGCCGAGATTGCGCCACTGCACCTAGCCTGTGGGACGAGAGTGAGACTCCACCTCAAAAAACAAAAACAAAAAAAACTGGATATTTGGGATCAAATATCATAATGAGATTGTCTTCTGAGGTTCTTGGATAAACAAGCTCTGACAATCATTCCCAAACAAGAGTTCAAAAATGTTTTCTTTTTTTTTTTTTTTTTGAGATGGAGTCTCATTCTGTCGCCCAGGCTGGGGTGCAGTGGCGCAATCTCGGCTCACTGCAAGCTCCGCCTCCCAGGTTCACGACATTCTCCTGCCTCAGCCTCCCAAATAGCTGGGACTACAGGCGCCTGCCACCACGCCCAGCTAACTTTTTTGTATTTTTAGTAGAGACGGGGTTTCACCATGTTAGCCAGGATCGTCTTGATCTCCTGACCTCGTGATCCGCCGGCCTCTGCCTCCCAAAGTGCTGGGATTACAGGTGTGAGCCACCGCGCCCGGCCCAAAAATGTTTTCAGCAATAGCAATGATATGGATGGAAAGGATGCCCTCCTGCACCGATGCCTCTGGAGGACCACACTTTCCATTCAGAGACACGCTCAGAACTCAACTCACGCTGCACACTGGGCCGACCCCAGTACCGACACTCACAGAATGCAGGTTGGAGAGAGATGCCGACTTCCGAGGAGGTGTCTTCTTTGGACTGAACGTATTCCCAAAGAAAGGCATCTTTGGCCTGATGAAAGCAAAGCCAACGCTCCCTTCTCCTAGGATCAGAAAAAGTCAGGGGTACAAACAGCTGGATCACTGACCTTACGCCATTGTCCTCAAATCTTTAAGACATACATTTTATCATGTAGCTACTAATGATCCTGGTGCTATGGTTTGAATGTCCCCACCAAAACTCATGTTGAAATTGAATTGCCATTGTTTAACAGTATAACAGGTGACTGGGCCATGTGAGCTCTGCTGTCATGAATGGATTAATGCCATTGTCATGGAGTAGGTTAGTCTTCTTGGGAGTGGGCTCCTGGTAAAAGGATGAGTTCTGCTGCCATGCCATCTGTCTCGTGCACTTGCTCACCATGTGAGCCTTCTGCCTCACACAGGATGACCCTCACCAGATATCTGCACCACGCTCTTGGACTTCCCAGTCTCCAGAACTGTGAGCCAAATAAACTTCTTTTCTTTATAAATTACCCAGTCTGTGGTAATCTGTTACGGCAGCACGAAATGGATTGAGACGCCTGGTAATAGCTCCCATGTGCTGAACACTCCCTTTGTGCTACGCAGTATGCTGAGATGTTTGGGTGGGGCACAGTGGCGCATGCCTGTAGTCCCAAATACTTGGGAAGCTGAGGCTGGGGGGGTCGCTGGAGCCCAGGGAGGTTGAGGCTGCAGTGAGCTGTGATCCACTGCTGCTCTCCAGTCTAGGCTACAGGGTGAGAGACCATGTCTCAAAAAAAAAAAAAAAAAAAAAATTAGCCTGGCATGGTGGCATACATGACTCACTGGCATGGTCTCAATGACTCAGGAGGCTGAGGTAGGCAGCTCACTTGAGCCCAGGAGTTTAAGACCAGTCTGGCCAACATGGCAAAACCCTGTCTCTACAAAAAATACAAAAATTAGCCAGGCATGGTGGTGTGTGCCTGTAGTCTCAGTTATTCAGTAGGCTTAAGTGGGAGGATCACTTGAACCTATGAGTTTTAGTCTCCAGTGAGCTATGATCATGCCACTGCACTCCAGCCTGAGTCAAAGAGCAAGACCCTGTCTCTAAAAAAATAAACAAAGAAATGGCTGGGCGCGGTGGCTCATGCCTATAATCCCAGCACTTTGGGAGGCCAAGGCGGACAAGTCAAGAGGTCAGGAGTTCGAGACCAGCCTGGCCAACATGGTGAAACCCCGCTTCTACTAAAAATACAAAAAATTAGCTGGGCATAGTGGCGGGTGCCTGTAATCCCAGCTAGTCGGGAGGCTGAGGCAGGAGAATTGCTTGAACCTGGGAGGCAGAGGTTGCAGTAAGCCGAGATCACGCCACTGCACTCCAGCCTGGGTGACAGAGTGAGACTCCATCTCAAAAATAAACAAACAAATAAATAAATAAATAAAACTATGCTTATATTTCCTTTCCGAATTGGTAACAGTGTCCCTCACTTGTCACCAGTGTCACTTGTCAACAGTGCACCTCGTATGTCAGGTTACCTGTTCTGTTATGGAAGGTAAGGTGAGGTGTCCTAAAAAGGGGGCAGGTCCACAACATGGCAGAGCTGACAACCACACCCCCCCAACCTGTACATTTGCTTTCAGCATAGTGCAACCTATCGCAATTCACCTAGGCCTAGTTAAGTAGATTTACTGATAACACCCTGGTTTTTGGGGAGGAAAGGAGGAGAGAAGCAAACTTTTTATATAGGCTGGGCTCAGTGGCTCACACCTGTAATCCCAGCACTTTGGGAGGCCAGGGCAGGAGGATTGCTTGAGCACAGGAGTTCAAGACCAGCCTGGGCAACTTAGCAGGATCCGTCTCTACAAAAAAAAAAAAAAGAATACACATATATATAACATTAATACAGAAAAGTCTACTACAAATCATAAGTGTAAGGTTTCATGAGTTTTTACTACACAAGTATAACCACCCTCCAGGGCCAGGCGTGGTAGTTTACATCTGAAATCCCAGCACTTTGTGAGGCCAAGGTGAGAGGACTGCTTGAGCCCAAGAGTTCACGACCAGCCTGAGTGACACAGACCCCCGTCTCTAAAAACATTAAAATCAAATTTTTTTTTAAATTTTATTTTTTATTTATGATTTTTTTTTTGAGACAGAGCCTTGCTCTGTGCCTCAGCCTCCCAAGTAGCTGGGATTACAGGTGTGTGCCACCACCCCCGGCTAATTTTTGTATTTTTAGTAGAGATGGGATTTCACCATGTTTGGCCAGGCTGGTCTCAAACCCCTGACCTCAAGTGATCTGCCCACCTTGGCCTCACAAAGTGCTGGAATTACAGGTGTGAACCAATGCGCTGGCTCAAAACATTTTTTTAAAACCACCCTCCAGATCGGGATACAGAGCATTTCAGCACTCCATAAGCCTCACCTGGCCACTGTACATGCACGGAATTGCACAGTGAGTCCTCGTTTGCATCTGGCTTCTCACACTCAACGTCATGTTTCTGACATTTGTCCATGCAGCTGTGTGTAGTTATAGTTTGTTCATTTGCATTGCTGGATAATATTCTATTGTATAAACACAGCAAAATTTACTTGTCTACAGAAGATGGACACTTGAGCTGTTTGCAGTTTTGTTTTGTTTTGTTTTGTTTTGAGACAGGGTCTCGTTCTGGTGCCCCAGGTGGAGTGCTGTGGTACCATCTCTGTTCACTGTAGCCTCAGCCTCCCAGGCTCAGGTGATCCTCCCACCTCAGCCTCATGGGTAGCTGGGACTACAGGCATGCACCACCATGCTGGCTAATTTTCTGCATTTTTAACAGAGATGGGAGTTTCATCATGTTGCCCAGTCTGGTCTTGAACTCTTGGGCTCAAGTGATCTGCCTGCCTCGGACTCCCAACGTGCTGGAATCACAGGTGTGAACCATCACGTCCGGCCTGTTTCCAGTTTTTAACCATCAAAAATAGTGCTGCTAGGCCAGGCATGGTGGCTAATGCCAGTAATCCCAGCACTTTGGGAGGCCAAGACAGGAGGATCATTTGATGCCAGGAGTTCGAGACCAGCCTGGGCAACATAATGAGACCTCATCTCTACAAAAAATTGAAAAACCAACCAGGCATGGTGGTGTACCCTTGTAGTCTTAGCTACTCAGGAGGCTGAGGTGGAAGGATCACTTGAGCCCAGGGGTTTGAGGCTGCAGTGAGCTATGATCACCACTGCATACTCCACTCTGGGCAACAGAGCAAGACCCTGTCTCAAAAAAAAAAAAAAAAAAAAGAAGTGCTGCTAAGAACATAAGAACATGAGGCTTGTGCATGTATATCTACATGCATATGTACACTTTTCTGGTTTCACACTTAGGGTTAGAACTGTAGAATCATAGAGCATTCATATATTTAGCTTTAACAGATACTGCCAAATGGTCTTCCAAAGTCATTGTACCAGTTTAGACTCCTATCTGCAGTTTGCAAGTCAGCCTTGTCAATATCTGGCACTTTCTGTCTTTTTCATCTTATCCATTCTGGCAGGTATGTACTGGTGTTGCATTGTTTAATTTGCTTTTTCCAAATAACTAATTAAGTTGAGCATCATTTAACATACTCCTTGGACAATATGGATTTTTTTGTGACATGCTTGTTCACGTCTTTTACCTTTTTTTTTTTTTTGAGACTGGAGTCTCCCTCTGTCAACGGACTGGAGTGCAGTAGCACGATCTCGGCTCACTGCCAACCTGTGCCTACCGGGTTCAAGTGATTCTCCTGCCTCAGCCTCCCAAGTAACGGGGGATTACAGGAAACACGCCACCATGCCCAGCTAATTTTTGTATTTTTTAACAGAAACAGGGTTTCGCTGTGTTGGCCAGGCTGGTCTCGAACCTCCTGACCTCAAGCGATCCGCCCACCACGGCCTCCCAAAGTGCTGGGATTATAAGCATGAGACACCGCACCCAGTCCTCTTTTGCCATTTTTTAGTTAAAAA